GAAAATACTGGGTTATATTAAACAATACTATATATATATATATAATATATATATATATATATATATATATATATATATATATATATATATATATATATATTATATAATGTAGGTCTATATGGAATATGTAGGATCGTGTAAATTTTAACGATAATTAAGTTGCAGGTATTCGACATTAGTAAGATAAAAAGGACATTGTTTTACTTTCCCTTCCCCTCCCCCCCCCCTCCCTCACTATTTTAAGGGCATAAAAGGGAATCAATCCTCTTGTTCTTACTTACCACGGAATATGAATAAAAATAATAGTTCGATTTTCTGAATACATCGATACTGAGACTAATCGTTGCTGCCGATTCTCTTCCCAACTCTACCGAGTATTGATTTGACCTTATTTATCCACGTCAGAAAACTCGACCCGGGGCTGCCCCCTCCCCCCCCCCCCCACTCCACCCTACTCCACCCGTATTGCCGTCTCCTGAATAAACTATATTTCCGGAGCCAAATCGAGAAAACTGCTTGTGTTTTTATTTGCCTGGCTGGGTCCGCGTTGACGTCATTTTTTTTTTATAATATCGTTTTGTTAGTGTCGTATTTTGTTCGTTATATTTTTTTTGGTATTGTTTTGTAACTGTTGTTGTATAAGTTTCTTGTATCGTTTTGTAAATAAAGCATTGTTGTTTTTTTTTTTTTTTTATAACGATTTTGCAAGTGTCATATTTTGTTGTTTTAAGTATTACATACGTCTTATTATATGGTTGTAGGTTGTAATTCGAATGGCTATTGTTTTTTTTTTTTAAATTGTACTTTTTTTCCTTGATTTTCATACCGCTCTTTGTTTCTTTGTAAACATATATTATTCTAAAACTTCATTATTGTACGAGAAGTAACTGTCCTTTGGGATTTGGTCATTAGAGCAGATAAAGTAGAGTTTACCTGTGTGAACTCTGCGTTTTAACTCATATTTTTCCGGGGCTATTAATGTTTCCGAGTCGGCCTTCGAGCAAGATCTTTACTCGCATATGTGGAGCTAACACCGACCAAGACGGAAGTGAAAGGTCACGTGGATATATATAAATATGTATATGTATAAATATATATATATATATAGGCCTATATATATATATATATATATATATATATATATATATATATATATAATGCTGCGCATGTCTATGAATAATACGACTGTAAATATATCAAAATGTCGACCCTTATAAACATATTCATTTCCCCTTCGTGCCCAAAGCACATGGCGCAGATGAAGTAGAGTTCATCTGCTTCAGAGTCCTCGGTAAATGAAGTGATAGCGTGGTCAGGTCAGCACTCTGCCCAGCTTCATTGTACTTCATTCGAGAGTTTCTAATTTGTTTTTGTATACAATTACTAGTAGCGTCGATCGTCTTAAATGAATCTGAACAGACTGAAATGTATTTCTCAATGCATTTTTTATTTAAAAATAGGGAAATAAGAGTGCTTGGAGGGGTAAAAAAAATCAAAGTAATCAATAGGATAATCACTCTAGTTACCTCCCATCATTGTATTGGGTTATTCCCTGCAATCCATTATCGTAAGCTGTCCAGAGAAGGGAAGTAACCCAAGCTGTCTCTGGGAAAGGGAAATAACCCAAGTCCACCAAAATCGTGTCTGCGTTCTGAAGGGAGATGAGAACAAGACAAGAACCCCCACCCACCCCTTTTCGCTTACCTTCTTCACTACCCCATTCTCTACCCCCCCCCCCCCCCCCACCCATCCACCACCACCACCCCCAGCATAACCTCGCCCTTCTGCCATGCCAACAAGCCTCCGACCTGACCGGAAATTACCGGATCACAAGCGAGAAATGCGTCTAGAACCACTGGTGCCTTTGGGTGGATGGAAACTTTATTTCGTCATTCCATGACCAGCTAAACGTTATGTGGGTCAAGGTTTCCTCCGCGAGCCAGAGACTGCGCATGCTCAGACCGTATTCCCGATACTGACCTTCGACCAGTATTCAATTCTGTTCGATTACGTTGTTCGTTTTTGAGGGTGCGTTGCTACATTCTGTTAGCCTATGAAATTTCGGACGTGTTACGTAGCCCCCAAAATCAATACAATCTAATTTACAGCAAATAAAAAAGTTAAAGAATAGTACATTTTTATTCGTAGCCAGAAAAAAATTATTACGACTTTTTATCCTGTCAAAATGCACAGTTATTGATAAAAAGTCTATACATATAGATATATATAGAGAGAGAGAAAGAGAGAGAGAGAGAGAGAGAGAGATAGACGTAGACGTAGACATAGACATCCACAGATATTTTGGTATATTGTATCGTTTTTCTTATTAAAAACATTCTTTGTTGCTAAATAAAATAACGCAGCTTAAGCAAAAATTAAGGGGTTGGTTTTTTTTTTCGTTTTTTTTTTTTCGTGTCTTTGACGAAAAGCATAGCTTTGCATTATGCAAAGAGTGTCAAAATATAAGGATAAATAGCTTTATTTTTTATCATATCATTAATAAATGGAATTTTTTTTACGAGATATATATTTTTCACCATATATTCATACAATTATTTCTATCCTTTCTTAACAAAGCATATGTTTGTATTGACAATCTAAACAAGTGCACAGATAATATTATTCTTTAAAAAAAAAATTCCCCTCATTTTTAATTACATTTTTTTGCCCTTTTTTTATCACCACCACTTCCGGTTTGCGGTGTTTAAAAAACATTACCAAAAAAAACAGAAAAAAAACACTAGCTCGGTTCTCTCCCTTTGTTCTTTTAATGAGAACATCCACATTTCCCATCAATATTCCCTTCCCAATAGTTCAGGCTTGCCCATGCCTAGGATAGAATTGCCTGCAGGTTTTTTCTTCCCTACGTCTGGGCTTTTTCCTCCCGTCCAAACTCGATGCCATTTTGTTCACATTACACATGCAAGCCAGTGCCAGATTTTTACCGCTCCTTGTGTTGGTTTGTTTGTTTTTATTTTAAACAAACTGACGGGAACAATGATTTAAACTTTAGCAACTATTGATGTGAAAAATTGAAATCATATGTCCATATAATCAAATTTTTTCTCTGAAGTGACAATTTTTAAAAATTCGTAATTTGAAATATGTATTGCCTTTTTTTAAACAGTTTAAAAAATTGGTTCGATTTTTAAATACAGTTTTAATATCTAATTTGTTTTTTTTTTAAATACAGCTGCAATTATTTAGATCTAGTCTTCTTAACTCTTTGTGGAACATAGGCCTCAATAACTGAAAACCATTCTTAACTATCTTCTTAACCCCCCCGCCCCCCCTCCCCTTCAACTTTTCTCTACACGGTTACTAAAAAATTAACGGCACTCTATTTTTTATTAATTACATTCATTTTAAGTTCTATAATGGTCTACGGATAAATGCACACCTCTCCGCTTAATTTAAATGGGAGCCAATTAAACTTAATTAGTGTTGAGATGTCCGTCGGTAATCAGATGTTTAAAAATTTAATGACCAGGTTTAAGCAGGTGATCGTAATTCTCTTGACTAGCGTCAATACATTAAAAATAATTTTAAAACGTTAATTTTTATGTAAACAAATTTTGGTTTGTTTTAAAGAAAAATGTATTTTTTTTTTAAATGTTGGACAGATCAAAACTTAAGAGTGCAGGTAAATCTAATTTAATTATTTTTTTTTTAAATCCTGCTGGTAAAGATTCTAAGATTTTAATTAAGTTAATTGAATGCTCTAAAGTGCTAAAACTAGTATTCTCTGATACTTCGCTTGTGGCTTTAATGGTTCTTTTCGAGTGTGCCCAATGTGGAAAATCCCGAATTTTTATATCTTCCTCTGGACGTCAGGATTTCTAAACACTAGTTTGGAGTTTGGTGACAAGGGGCTTCATCTTAGTTTTAAGTTGCTTTTTCCTGTTTTTCTTTGTTTATGAAGAAGGATTTGCTGGTTTTTTTTTTTTTTTTTTTTTTTTTTTTTTTTTTTTTTTTTGCCTTTTTTTCAAATCTATCGGTTTATATAACGGTTTAGGCATATGAAAGTGGTCAGCTTTGTGGTCCCATGTTTTTACTATTGTCCAGTGCTAGGTGGGCGTTCTACCGGCTGGTAAGAAGGAAATGAACTCGAAGCTTTCGAGCTAGCAATCGTGGTTTACCACTGAACCACGCGCCTCCGTCCCATTTAGTTACGAATTCGTTTGATTTTTTTTTTCTAAACTCCAAATGGCAGTTACAGTTACGGTAAAGATGAATGTGAATGGCTGGTATAGACCAGATAGGCTTACAGTTAGTTCAAGGCTTGTATTGCCTGGGGGGGGGGGTAACTTTTGTTAACAGTGATACTAGTGAATCGAATACGGATGCTAAGCTACCTGTAGATTATCTAAGATATTTTTACATGTAATAATGCTGCTTTAAAAGCATGGTGTGGAGTTGAAGAATGGTGCGCCTATTCGATGAGGATGGGAGGGGGTAGTGGCTACTATTCATTAACGATACTTGTAAATCGAATACGGACGCATAGCTGGGGGGGGGGGGTGGTGGTGGCTACTATTCATTAAAGTTAAAGATACTAGTAAATAGAATACGGATGCATAGCGCTACCTGTAGATTATCTAGGATACGTTTAAATGTAAAAATGCTGCTTTAAAAGCATGATGTGAAGAATGGTGCGTCTATTCGATGAGGATGGGGTGGTGGGGGGGGGGTTGTATTTTTAAAAAAAAATAATTCATTAATTGCATGCGGAGTTACAAGAGAGAGAAGCGAGTAAAAGACCATGTATTGCTAATACATCGATCTCGCGAGAAATAAGACGATCGACCGAGAAGGAAATACGAAAAGAAAGAAGGGAAAAAAAAACACAACCGCGCTCAAACGGCTTGTGTGGAGGGGGGGGGGGGAGGAGTGAGAGAGAGGAAAAAAAAACCTATCGTCTGCTTGTTCGCAGTCTGTCATCGCTTCTGGTTCTAGCAGTCGGGGCTGGCATCAATGGGCCCACACGGTCAATAATGTGTTTCATTCGGCTGTACGCTCGTGGAAGGGATTCACGGCAGGGAGACGACTCGTGTGTGTGTTCGGCTAGAGTGCTTTCCCTGTTTTAGTGCTTTTTGTTTATATTTTTCACGCTCCGGGCTTCCCTTTGCTGCTTTTGTGCGGATTCGAAGCGTGTATTTCAAATGTATGTAAATAAGTGAAAAGGGAATGTAAAGTTATTTTTAGCTTGTGAAGAGCTCAGCTGTTTTTTGTTGTTTCAACTTCAATTGTTTGGAATCATTCATTCATGTATCTGGACACGTGACTGTGGGAGTTATTTATAGAACTGGAGCTCGTTCATGAGTAAATAGGTTATTGTTGTTTATTTTATACTTGAACAATATATGATACAGGTTTGTGTTGATAAAATTATTGCTTGTGTAGATATTGTTTTGTAGCAGCTATTTAGATCTAGTTTGGGAATTTTGTTTTTGTATTGTAAAGCAACGAAATACTCTAGATCTAGTTAGTTTTACAAAGGACTGGATAGACTATAGGCGAAATATAAATCGTAAATAAACTTGTTTATCCTTGTGGATAAGCCGGCTATTTGGGATATATATTGTTCTTAAGTGATAACTTTGGCTTACGAAAAAATGAGTTTAATAAGTGAAAATTAATCTCTTTTATTAATACTTTAATTACTTACCATGCTAAGCGACATTAACGCTGGGCTTTAGATCGCTAATTACCTAACATCCTAAGCGATATCAACGCTGGGTTAAGTTCGCTAATTACCTAACATGCTTAGCGGGTATAGCTTTAAGCATAGTTCGCTATTTACCTATCATGCTTAGTGACACATAACTGTTTAGTTCGCTATTTACCTATCATGCTTAATGACACATATCTGTTTAGTTCGCTATTTACCTATCATGCTTAGTGACACATAACTGTTTAGTTCGCTATTTACCCATCATGCTTAAAACACGCTGGTGGTTTGGTTGTGATGAATGCTCTCAAGAAAATAACATCAAGACACAAAGCACTAATAATGATTGCCTGTTATGGGTTTTCGCTAGTCTAGGTATATTTACCGTACAACCAGACTGTTTAGGTATATTTACCTTACTACAACCAGACTGTTTAGGTATATTTACCTTACAACCAGACTGTTTAGGTATATTTACCGTACAACCAGACTGTTTAGGTATATTTACCTTACAACCAGACTGTTTAGGTATATTTACCGTACCATCAGACTGTTTAGGTATATTTACCGTACCATCAGACTGTTTAGGTATATTTACCTTATTCGTACCTACATTCACACTATTCTCACACTGTGTAGGTATACATTAGCTTCCGGGATCGTAAGGGTTGCACGTATTCCGAACAAGTGTAGTAAAAAAAAAAGTACCACTTTTTTGTTTATTGGTGGGGCTGATGTAGAATATTCGCTCTACTGGCAGCGACGTATGAAGGGATAGTGTGATCAGCATTATTCCCAACTGCTTTAACCTTCCCCAATTCAAGTCAGGTATCCGTCAAGGCTGAGTCGACTCGTGAAACGAACGGGAGAGCTTTAGGCAGGTTGTCTCGTACACTGTAGCGCTCGGCCACATATATTCTAAGTATGTTCATTATGATGACTAGTGTAGAATAAAATGTGTTAAAACTAATTGACAGCGTTACTTAAGCGTTAAATATTTCCTTAAGTAAGCTGAGTATAGGGGAATAAATATGTAGATATTATAAACCTGGACGCATGTGCGAAATTTTATCCTTGTGTTGCCCTGAGTCCACTCAGCCCTGTTGGGTACCTAACTTACATTGGGGAAAGCAAAGACGGCTGTGCATAGTGCTGACCACACAATCCCTTCATATGTCGAGATTAGAGAAACCGGTAAACTCTACTTCACTTGCCCAATGGACCGTCAGAATCGAAAAGGGAACTTCACTTTATAAACACTTTGTTACAAAACCTTAGTGACTGAAATTACGAAGTTTTCCAAAAAATTAACATTTACAAAACGTGAAAAAAAAGTGGAAAAAAGGCAATGTAAAAAAATAAAATAAGACACTTCTCTAATAAGTGCGTACGTCTTTTTAATTTAAACTGTCAACAATTTTTTTTTAATTTATACAATTGTGCTAAAATTATGATAACAAAACCTTGTCAGTTAATAACTTTTTGATGTGACAGACTTCGTGTATGAATACTTTGCCCTACCCCCCCCCCTCTCAATTTTGGTACTACTGAATGTAATCTACCAGAGATTCGAGTTGCTGATTAATTATACAAAAAAAAAGACAATCCATTATCAAAGTCTGTCACCTTCATTACCACACAGGACGTACACGGCCATTACATAAAGTCTATTGTTTTCATTTCTTTTAAAAATTCTCGCCTAAGTTATGTGCCCTTGGTTTGGGGTGCGAAGTGGTACAGTAAGGGGAGATAATTAATGCACAAGCAGGTTTGATTCGTATTCTCGTAATCAGCCTTTTGTTTTCGATGTGAATGGCATTTATAAACATAGAATTTACGATTTGTCTGGCCGGGCGTATTTTCTAATTAGTTTATGATTATTATTGCGTATTCGGTCTGTAATTATTTTTTAAATGTACAAATTGTAAAAATAATAGACATTAATCATTTAACTTATATAAATATTGATGATGATCGCAAAACGTTATAATTGTGCTCATGATTGTACGATAATATGTGATTAATTTTCCAAAAGTTGTAGGAATTTGAAACCGTGAATATCGCTTGGATTTGTCTTTTACGTCATTGTTTATAGGTCCCTTCTGGGTCCCGCCTCTGTAGGTCCCACCTCTGTTGGTCCCGTCTCTGTAGGTCCCGTCTCTGTAGGTCCCGTCTCTGTAGGTCCCGTCTCTGTAGCCGTCTCTGTAGGTCCCGTCTCTGTAGCCGTCTCTGTAGGTCCCATCTCTGTAGGTTCCATCTCTAAAGGTCCCATCTCTGTAGGTCCCGTCTCCTAAGATTCCACCTTTAACAAACGTACTTTTAAACATGACAGCACCCTACCACGTGATGCAACAAACCAATCAATAATCCCGACACATTGGTAGCCTTACTCTTCAGCAAGTGTCCGTGTTAACTAATATCTCATATTTTTTTTTTTAAACAAAATGTAATGAGAAAATAACACGCTTGTTTAAATATGTTGCATTGAGATGTATCGTGTTTTTTTACATTATTTAACGCCTATAATCTAATACCGTGTTGTTCAGTAATGGCGGCATATGTCGCTAAACCTCCGCGCGCATCAATTTACTTAATGAATTCTGGAATTTCATTTTCCTGACAAGACTAAAATAGACGACCTTTCATAAAAATCGACAAACCGTTGTCGTGTTCTTTTTTTTTTTTTCATTTTATTATGTTGTTTTGTTTGTTTTGTAATTGGGTTCGGCCGTTGCTATGGGAACCTGTCAATGTGGGGCATGTACACAAATCGTGTTGATGCAACAGGTGAGACCAAAACACGGAAAGATTGCTTGTTGTATGGGGATTTTTGAAATACTTCATTAAAGGTGATGTCTTATTGGTGGAGGGGGGAGGGTATACTTCTTTAAAGATGTCTTACGGGGGATGGAGGGTATACTTCTTTAAAGATGTCTTATGCGGGGTGGAAGGTGTACTTCTTTTAAGATGTCTTATAGGGAGGAGGGAGAGTATACTTTAAAGATGTCTTAGGTGGAGGGCTGGAGGTTACACTTCTTTACGATGTATGTATGTGTACTGAGTCCACCCAGCTCTGATGGGTACCTAACTCATGTTAGGGAAAGTAAAGGCGGCTGGGCATAGTGCTGACCACACTATCTCTTCATATGCCGAGGTCAAAGAAACAAGTGAACTCTACTTCACTTGCCCCATAGACCGTAAGGTTTCAAAGGGAAACTTTACTTACATTTTATGCGTATTGGATCCCATCTTGCATGATAGCTTTCCAGCTGGTCAAAGTGATAGGAGGTTAGACACGAAGCTGCGTTGTTGGTCGTTGTCCATGGTTCGAGCCACGATGGCGTCGACCTCTGCCATTCATTTCTTTCAAGTAATGATATATTTCTATTTATAACTGTTTCTATCGAAATACCTGATTTTATGTTCTCATCAATTTTACGTGAATTTAATTTAAATCGAGATTACATTTTTTGCGTGGGTTATTCCTTCTCCGAAATTGTTTCGTTTATTTTTTTATTTTATTTTTTAACTGGAATGAACGTATTTATATTTATCGTTAAAAACGGAAGTAGATGAGCTGTACATTATCTGCACTAATGATCATCAAATCACGGAAGTGGGGTTTTTTTCGTAACGTTTATTTTTTATCTTTTTTTATTTTTAGTTTTCTAGTGGGTGCTCTTTTTCAATATTTATACACTTGTAAAAACTATAGGTTATTCTAAATTAGGAAAAAAATAGTCAACAGTAATTAATTTAATACTTTTATTAGTCTGATGCAAAAGATCTTCAGTGCAAAAAAAAAATATTTTAAAGTGTAATAATTAACTTTTTTTTTTAACCGCTCTCAATTTTAAATTGAGTTGCGTCCCTTATCTAGGGTTGTCTTTTCCTGGGCTTTTTTTTTTTTCGTTTATATGGGTAAAAAAATATTGTAATTATCAGGCGCCGCTGGTAGCCTCGGTGGTTTGAATGCTGGGACGGTGAGAGGGTGGGGGGGGGGGGGGGTGAAATGAAATTAGTGAATTAATGAGTTTTGTTTGAATGTATGTGTGATCAATCTTCTGTGTAAGCTGGTTCGAATCTACAACCTTCTATTTTTTTACTTTTGTTTTTCGACTTTCTCTACTTAATACAACATAATCACCATCGTTACCATCAGAAAGCAAACACGCTATCACAACACGCGCACCAGCACACACACACACACCAGCATACCCACACACCAACACACACACACACCAAAACACACACACCAGCGCACAAGCACGCACCAGCACACACACACACACACACACACGCGCGCGAGCACACACACACCATCACACTCAAACACACACATATAAACATCGTATTTCATCGCCTTACGTGTCCTTCATCCTTTTTGTGGATGGTTTTTTTTTGTCTATTTTTTTTTAACATTTTTATTTCTCTCCTTTTTAGTCTAATTTTTTAGCTCTTTTTTATATTTTTATTAACCATTTATGTTTTCATTTGGGCCTATTCTTTCTCCCCTTTAGGAACTTATTTTCTTTCTTATTTTTACCCAACTTTTAATCGTCCACACTGTCTGAGTAATCTTCACTACAGTGCGTCTGGGTGCCGAGCTCAATATTTTATCAATTGATTTTTTAAGTACATTCCTCGTCTAGAGCCCTATTTTTCTATTTGTGCAACAAATATTGGATACATCGCCTGGAA